GACAACATCGTCTTGGGAACGTAAGTTTTCAATTGATTTGTATAATTGTGTGTTTCAATGATTTATGTTTATCATTTGCTATACATAAGCAAATTATAACTGGTACGTTCAATAATTTGCAGCTTCAAATAACTCTTACAAGTCCTGTTTCGATAATTGTTACCTGTGATAGATATTTCTGAATAATAAAAATAACCGAATTATCGCTGTCCGTGTAAATGTCGTGATATAACTAAAAAATAGAAAATTAACAAAGTCGTTGGAATATCATTGAAATAATTATCAGTAACGGTCTCAAAACATCTTCGTTTAGATGTATCATTCTTATTACGACTAAGTCAGACCAAAGATAATTGTACAGATTTATTACCCGATCAAAAAATGATAAAGACCAGAATTGATCATGAGTCTTATCAGAAAGTCGCAATCACTTTGGTGCCTTGCATGTCAGTAAATAATTGAAACATAAATTTCCATTGCAGAGTCCCAATACTATTGTACCTGGCTGAGACTCATGCTAACTTTGCAATGTGTGGTAAAACTTTAGAAGATCGTGCTAAAGTCGAAAGTGTATTGATGTGGGCATCTGCATCACTTGCAAGGTAAGGTACTTCAATCATAGAAATGATTTTCTTGAAATGCCAACATTTTCAAAAGGGATGTCTACGGAATAGAGAAGATGTTTATGATGAGGCCCCAGGTAGGGTCAGAGATGAAAAAGTAATTGGGCCCCCTGCACACTATTTAGTCGAAAAGTCGGCTTTTAGGAGCAGAAATCTGTCACATAAACTGGCTCGGCCCCTTAAGCACCCTAGGACTGTATCTACAAAACACTACAACATGAACGAGGTTGATTCCCAAATAGGAGGCAAGAGCTCTTTATCCAGAATCATCTGCTATCATCTCCACATTTGGAATGAAGCAACGCCAATTTTCCTAGCTATGAGGGCTTTAAGTGGAGGCTTAAAACATTTACCATCATGTGCTTGGTCTTCTGGACTAGAATAATTGCCTTTATGATCCCGGCTGCGAATGATGCTCGCCAGTCTCCCTGGGTTTTTTGTAAAGTGCCAGCTTAAACAGCTATAATATTTGCTTCAGTCTAAGGAACTTCTTTTAAAGTACTTTAGACAAAAACGTCATTAAAATGATAGTTTGAGCTTGTGTAACAAACAATCGTGTGACTCAACAGCAATAGCATAAACTGCGGTAGGAAGGTGCAGACCAGCCAGGAGGGTGGTCGGGCCATATTGCCCTAGGGTCCGAGCTGAGAGGGGCCCAAGAGTTAACGCAAAGTTCCTAGAAATAACAAAAACAATAATAACTATATACAGTTATGATAACGTCATCGCGGGATGTATCTTTCCTCTTGTCCCAGGCCCCAGGAAAGCTGTTTGTGCTCGGCCTTGAAAGGTGCCGAGCATAAATTCTGATGATGTATATGTTGGGCAATTTTTGATAGCCGAAATAGAAATCTGTCGAAAAAGCCCACATTATTTGCAGATCGTCTGTTACCCTCTACCCGGATAACGCACGACAAACAGAAAGGAAACTATAGACTGTCGTGTAGGACAGTTTTCACAATCATAGGTTATCGCTGTCTGGAAATTCAAAGATAAAATCCGCACTGTTCCTTAAAAGCTTGCATTTAGTGATCTGATAACTGTGCTTAAAACCTTAACCACAAATCATATTCAATCAGGACTTCGGTTAACAGATATTTCACTAGAAATAAAAAATCCTTTTGTGTTTCTGTGGCAACAGCCTGGATTAAAGATTCTGAATAAGGAAGAAAAGAAATCCAGTCGAATTATAGATTTCTTGTTTTGATGATGGAAACGTGCTCGATGTCAAAAAGTCATTATCGAGTTAATCTTCAAATGAAAGATTGCATTTATTTTTGCTTAGAAAATTTAAGATGAGGTTTTTTAAAAAATTAGTTGCTTGGCTGTTTGGCTGAGTTTAGCTTATCAAAGTTTCATATTAATTGGTAGGATTTCATCACGTTCACTAGCATCTTTTCTTGGCTTTTGGATTAAAATATTCGTGCATTGTTGCGTGAAATGAAAAGGAGCTTGTTGCGGTTATCAATACTTTGATGATTGTGACAAAGGAAAGATCGAACCCCCTTCGAGCCATTTCGTTTCAAACCAGAGGAGTTTTCACCATCAAGGGGTGTTTTGTCGGGGAATTTTGAAACTTGTCTACAAATAAGGGATGATTAACCCATTTGGAACCTGGACGCCCCCCCTTGAGCAGAATAGCTAACGACAGCTCTGAAGTTGGACATTTTATTCGAATGTCTTTAAGAAGGATATTGCCCCAATGCATTGATAATTTTTCCATTGAATCCGCCACTGAGGGAAAGCATATCCTTCACGTTTTAGATCAGTCTTCTACGATTTTGCTGCGCCTAGACTTCACGAGAGCCACTCAATCGGCGAATTTGAAAGCATCCATCTAGTGACACATGGCAAAAGTGAAATAATAGAACATTTTGATGTGCTAGAAAAGCACTATCTCAACAACAACAACAACAACACAAAGTATCTGGTTAACAATGAACTGACGCTTGCTGACGTATACACCGCCATTACGATATCGTTTCTAGAGCCACTGTTATTCGATTTTTCACCATGGCCGGGGCTTTGCAAATGGTTTGAGGGCATCAAATCGGCGATTGCCCAAACATCACAAAAAAACATGCTAACAAGGCTGTTGTCTTTCAACAGAACTACTGTTGCCGTATAATAGTAGTGATAATGCGCTGGAAATGCAGATTATATGTAGACCAAGATAAATACAATTCAATGTAGATCATGCAGGAATTTAAATACATTTTCTGTTTAAAAGGATACAATACGTTTTGTCCTTGCCTGAGCTATATAGCCGATGCTAAAAAATTGACATTCAAACGTGCCCCGATACCCTGTGTTGACAATTGACCATTGGGCAGCCTGCATGACATCAAAACAACGCAGTTTTATTGGATAATGATCGAATCTATTTCAGGCACAAGAGGAAACGCTCCGGGATCTAAACTCTTATTTCAGGTCATTCACTTGAAAAACTTTCGTTTAGAGCCTGAATATACTCTTAAGTATTCAACAGGGGAACCTCGTTTTCAAACAGAAACCAACTTACGAATAGGCAGCTGCTGAAAATGAGGCTAAGCAATATTCTTATAATATTCTTTAAGACTGGGTGCTGAGCCTGAAGGTTCTTATGAATGGTATCTAGACTGTTATTTGAGTGTTTTTCTACCAGTTGATTTATGGCAAAAAAGTAAGCTTATAGGCATGGAAAAATGGCACTGTGTAAATGAAACGAAATTTTCTTTGCTTGTAAATAAATGAAAAACCGTAATCTCTCTTGTATACCCGCTGTGGGTTTACTTAATTTTTTAACGTGCTTTTGGAAAGTAGGTTGAAATTTTCATGCGAATTACGAAGAACCTCGACGATTACGAAAGCTGCTTAGAAAGTTGATCCTGATTGGCTGAGACATCAAATGAAAACGGAATAAAACTATACTAAATTTTAAAAAATCAATGGACTCTCTCTCGTCAAAACCGGATTATCAGAAAGGAAGGACTAATCGATCGAAGAAAGACGGGATTCTTAGAGAATCAGGAATATTGGAAAGGATGGGAATGCAAAACGGAGTAAAGAAAACCTACACATAACTACACAAATATGCTAATGGTGTATTTTTTCCAAAGATATTACAATCATTTCAGACCTGATTTCAATTCTTGTTTATTATCATCAAATAAAAGCAGATTTCTTTTAAGAGAAAACAAATTAAGAATATGTTTATCAAAATTTATTTTTTTATAAAAGTTTGACTCATCCAAACAAATGTTTTACTTTTAAAAAATGGTATAGCAATCTGGTGTGCAATTTTTAATCATTTTTCTAAGCCTACTCTCTTACTTTTTCATCAAAAATGACATATTGAAAAAGTCGCCATTTTCTTATAACTACGACCTAAGAATTTAGTCCTAAGTTTTACTTTGTTTTTAGAGGACAGAGTATTTCAAAATAAGCTGTTTTTGAGAAAGAAAGTTTCGAAAATTTTGACGACTTTATTTTTTCATCAAAATTGACCCTTTCAAAAAGTCGTCATTTTTTCAAAGATACCACTTTAATTTCAATCTTGAGTTTGATATTTTTTCGGCAATCAAATGGATCCAATTAAAACTGCTTTACAACAAAAGATTTTCGAAAATTTTGACGATGTTTGTAAGCCTTTAGCCTTACTTTTTCATCAAAATTGACCCTTTCAAAAAGACGTCATTTCTTCAATGATACCGATTCAATTTGAATCGATAGTTTTTTTCATTATTTTTTGTGATAAAATGTTTGAAAATCAAGCTGCTTTACAACAGAAAATTTTCGAAAATTTTCACGATTTTTCTAAGCCTATAGCTTTACTTTTTCATCAAAATTGACCCTTTCCAAAAGTCGTAATTTCTTCAATGATACCGAATCAATTTGAATCGATAGTTTTTTTCATTATTTTTTGTGATAAAATGTTTGAAAATCAAGCTGCTTTACAACAGAAAATTTTCGAAAATTTTCACGATTTTTCGAAGCCTATAGCCTTACTTTTTCATCAAAACTTACCCTTTCGAAAAGTCGTTATCTTTTCAAGGATACCACTTTGAATTCAATCCTGAGTTTGATTTTTTTTCGGCGATCAAATGGATTCAATCAAAGCTATTTTTGATAGAAGAAGTTCCCGAAAATTTTCACGATTTTTCTAAGCCTATAGCCTTACTTTTTCATCAAAACTTACCCTTTCGAAAAGTCGTTATCTTTTCAAGGATACCACTTTGAATTCAATCCTGAGTTTGATTTTTTTTCGGCGATCAAATGGATTCAATTAAAGCTATTTTGATTGAAAAAGTTCCCGAAAATTTTCACGATTTTTCTAAGCCTATAGCCTTACTTTTTCATCAAAATTGACCCTTTCAAAAATTCGTCATTTCTTCAATGATACCGATTCAATTTGAATCGATAGTTTTTTTCATTATTTTTTGTGATAAAATGTTTGAAAATCAAGCTGCTTTACAACAGAAAATTTTCGAAAATTTTCACGATTTTTCTAAGCCTATAGCCTTACTTTTTCATCAAAATTGACCCTTTCAAAAAGTCGTTATCTTTTCAAGGATACCACTTTGAATTCAATCCTGAGTTTGATTTTTTTCGGCGATCAAATGGATTCAATTAAAGCTATTTTTAATAGTAAAAGTTTCCAAAAATTTTGATGATTTCTCTAAGCCTATAGCCTTATTTTTTCATCAAAATTGACCCTTTCAAAAAGTCGTCATTTCTTCAATGATACCGATTCAATTTGAATCGATAGTTTTTTTCATTATTTTTTGTGATAAAATGTTTGAAAATCAAGCTGCTTTACAACAGAAAATTTTCGAAAATTTTCACGATTTTTCGAAGCCTATAGCCTTACTTTTTCATCAAAACTTACCCTTTCGAAAAGTCGTTATCTTTTCAAGGATACCACTTTGAATTCAATCCTGAGTTTGATTTTTTTTCGGCGATCAAATGGATTCAATCAAAGCTATTTTTGATAGAAGAAGTTCCCGAAAATTTTCACGATTTTTCTAAGCCTATAGCCTTACTTTTTCATCAAAACTTACCCTTTCGAAAAGTCGTTATCTTTTCAAGGATACCACTTTGAATTCAATCCTGAGTTTGATTTTTTTTCGGCGATCAAATGGATTCAATTAAAGCTTTTTTGATAGAAAAAGTTCCCGAAAATTTTCACGATTTTTCTAAGCCTATAGCCTTACTTTTTCATCAAAATTGACCCTTTCAAAAAGTCGTCATTTCTTCAATGATACCGATTCAATTTGAATCGATAGTTTTTTTCATTATTTTTTGTGATAAAATGTTTGAAAATCAAGCCGCTTTACAACAGAAAATTTTCGAAAATTTTCACGATTTTTCTAAGCCTATAGCCTTACTTTTTCATCAAAATTGACCCTTTCAAAAAGTCGTCATTTCTTCAATGATACCACTTCAATTTGAATCGATAGTTTTTTTCATTATTTTTTGTGATAAAATGTTTGAAAATCAAGCTGCTTTACAACAGAAAATTTTCGAAAATTTTCACGATTTTTCGAAGCCTATAGCCTTACTTTTTCATCAAAACTTACCCTTTCGAAAAGTCGTTATCTTTTCAAGGATACCACTTTGAATTCAATCCTGAGTTTGATTTTTTTTCGGCGATCAAATGGATTCAATCAAAGCTATTTTTGATAGAAGAAGTTCCCGAAAATTTTCACGATTTTTCTAAGCCTATAGCCTTACTTTTTCATCAAAACTTACCCTTTCGAAAAGTCGTTATCTTTTCAAGGATACCACTTTGAATTCAATCCTGAGTTTGATTTTTTTTCGGCGATCAAATGGATTCAATTAAAGCTTTTTTGATAGAAAAAGTTCCCGAAAATTTTCACGATTTTTCTAAGCCTATAGCCTTACTTTTTCATCAAAATTGACCCTTTCAAAAAGTCGTCATTTCTTCAATGATACCACTTCAATTTGAATCGATAGTTTTTTTCATTATTTTTTGTGATAAAATGTTTGAAAATCAAGCTGCTTTACAACAGAAAATTTTCACGATTTTTCTAAGCCTTTAGCCTTACTTTTTCATCAAAATTGACCCTTTCAAAAAGTCGTCATTTCTTCAATGATACCGATTCAATTTGAATCGATAGTTTTTTTCATTATTTTTTGTGATAAAATGTTTGAAAATCAAGCTTCTTTACAACAGAAAAATTTCGAAAATTTTCACGATTTTTCTAAGCCTATAGCCTTACTTTTTCATCAAAATTGACCCTTTCAAAAAGTCGTCATTTCTTCAATGATACCACTTCAATTTGAATCGATAGTTTTTTTCATTATTTTTTGTGATAAAATGTTTGAAAATCAAGCCGCTTTACAACAGAAAATTTTCGAAAATTTTCACGATTTTTCTAAGCCTATAGCCTTACTTTTTCATCAAAATTGACCCTTTCAAAAAGTCGTCATTTCTTCAATGATACCACTTCAATTTGAATCGATAGTTTTTTTCATTATTTTTTGTGATAAAATGTTTGAAAATCAAGCTGCTTTACAACAGAAAATTTTCGAAAATTTTCACGATTTTTCGAAGCCTATAGCCTTACTTTTTCATCAAAACTTACCCTTTCGAAAAGTCGTTATCTTTTCAAGGATACCACTTTGAATTCAATCCTGAGTTTGATTTTTTTTCGGCGATCAAATGGATTCAATCAAAGCTATTTTTGATAGAAGAAGTTCCCG